AAACTCCATAACTGTATATATCCATGATTACATAAATACATGTATATATGTATGCGACGAATGAGTAAAAAAAAAAAAAAGAGGACAGAAAAAAAAATTAAAAAAAAAAAAAAATAAAGAAAAAAAAAAGTAAAAAAAAAAAATGAAGACTCACCGGACGATGATAATATGGCCAACAGGAGGGCCAATAGGATCGTACCTCTCGAACGTCTCATAGTCCGGATAATATTGTTAGATTTAGATTGTTACCTACTGTTTTGTCTGTGTGTTCTACTATGACTATATCTGAATGCTTCCTCGACAGTTATTGGCTCGAACAGTTATTGGCCTCGAGAGAACACCAGGACTTCTCTCCCTTCACTCGGATTCGTGAAAACCATGTCTCCTCGACCCCACCCTTCTTATTTAGTTTGCTATTCACTCACTCGCTCGCTCACTCACTCACTCACTCACTCACTTATTTACTTACTTATTCTCTCACTCACTTACCTGTCTTTCTTTTTAATGATTTCTTAACCGAGCGACGATCGTTCGTTCGTTCGTTCTTTCGTTCGTTCGTTCGTTCGTTCGTTCGTTCGTTCGTTCGTTCGTACACTTTCGTCGTTCGTCCGAACGCACCCGAAGAAAAAGGATCATGGAGTTAAACAGCCGAGGAAAAATAACAACTATTTTGGATAGTTACGTTTTTAAAACGTCGTATTACAATTTCTTTTTTTCTTCTTAATTTCTTTTTTCTACTTAATTTCTTTTTTCTACTTAATTTCTTTTTTTTCTTTTTTTTTTGTAATATTCACTGATCGTGTCTACTTTTTTTTTCCTTTTTTTTTCTTTTTCTTCTTTCCTTTTAATTCATTTATCTCTTTTTTCACGTTAAAAAAATTTTCATTCTATTCTCATTAATCATTAAATTCGCCATCGTGGATACGCACTTAAGCACTTTAATATGGATCTTTGGATATATATATTGGGAATAAAAAAAAACAAAAAAAAAAAAAAAAAAAAGAAACAGAAAAGAACAATACAGGAAAAAAAATGTAATCACTTTTCTAACATAATTTTTTTGATTCGCATTAAATATTTTCTTTCATTTTGGATATTATTCGTAATTATTTCCCCTTCTTTCCACACTCTTTCGCACATTCCCCGACCCCATTTTCCATTCTAATCTTTTCCATATCCATCGTTGCTATACGCGTGCTTGCTTATTGAAGCGATCATTTGAGAACGATAGTACGTTACGCTTGTTAATAAATTTTCAGCATTGTCGAACATTTCTTTTTATTTTTTTTTTTTTTTTCGTTCAAGCATTACGCGAAATTTCGTAAAAATAGAAAGAAAATACAAGAAAAAGTACACACGCAAGAAAAAATAAATAAGAATGAAAAAGAATAATAATTATAAAATTCGTAAACTTCCTCGAAATTCATTAGCGCCAGTACAAATATGTAAATTTATTGAATACAATATTTAATTCTTGAGAAATCATTTTGATCACGTGAACATGGCCTAACATCCTGAAGAACGATAATGAGCCACGATCCCGTTCGTGACCATTTTTGGCATAACTATGTACAATAGTTACTTATTCATTTGATAAGTCGAAAAAAAAAGTCGATTCGCATTTATGCGACTACAGATCTTGCATACAAACGAACGATAAGAAGAAGAGATAGACATTAGCATAATCGCAACGTTCGCATAACGTAACTAAACGATTACGAATGGCGAATGATTATGCATATGGCTCTCTTTATATATGTTAGTGTATATGTATATAAATACTGTTACATACGTATTTATGATTTACTATATAGTTTATACGGTCTATCTCTTTTTATATTTTCTCTTTCTTTTTCTCTTTCTCCTTCTCTTTCTCTTTCTCTTTCTCTTTCTCTTTCTCTTTCTCTTTCTCTTTCTCTTTCTCTTTCTCTTTCTCTTTCTCTTTCTCTTTCTCTTCTACCCCGGACATTTTACGGTCTTATGTAAGACTTCATGCCGATCGGTTCGAAGACCGGCAAGCGATTGGTTGTAGATGTGAATGTGGTGAAAGCCGACAACGACGACAACGATGACGACGACGACGACGACGACGACGACGATGGTTATTCTTGCTCGATTTCGATCGCTCGGCATTGTTGGTACCTATAAAGGTAGAACGATTTTTTTTTCAAAGAATTTCATACATTCTACGTTTAAAATCTAATCCATTTAATTTTATAGCAAATAAGTTTTCTTTTCTTTTCTTTTCTTTTCTTTTCTTTTCTTTTCTTCGTTTTTTTTTTTTTTTTTTTTTTTTTTTTTTTTTTTTTTTTTTTTTTTTTTTTTTTTAATCATTATCTAACATTTATCGAAATTTTTGCTTTAAACGTAATACGAAGTTTCTTCTTTAATAATATTAAATCGTATAATATGAAATTACGAAATTTTTCTTTCGAGCAGAATAGAAATAGTTCTTTCCTTTTTTTTTTTTTCTTTTTTTTTTCTTTCTTTTTTTTTTTGATAATGTAATTATATTCGATAATGTTCAAAGAAATATATTCAATTATTAAATTCATTGGTATAACGTTCCTACCTTTCTATAAAGATAGATAGAATGATTTTTCGAAGAATTTCACAATATATAGTTTGGGATTTAATCTAATCTAATCTAATTTATTATTTTATTTCAAGTTATTACGTGGTATGTAATATATAGGAAATTTTTATTTTAAACGTAATATGAAATTTCACGGATAACATTAAATGTTATATAATATTAAATGTTAGAATTTTTTTTTCTCGATAGAATAGTAGTTCTTTTTTTCTTTTTCTTTTCTTTTTTTTTGTTTTTTTTCTTTCTCTTTTGTTTTTTTTTTTTTTTTTTTTTTTTTAAATCAAACAAATACTTCTCATTCGTCAGAATAGATAAACGTATATCCGATTGCATTGCATTGTTGCCTTCTATATAAAGATAAAAAGATAAAAGTCATATATTTAGAATCTAATCGATATAATTTTATTGTAGATAAACATTTATGAAATTATTATGTTGAATTTATTGAAATTTTATTTTTTTTTTTTTTTTTTTAGACATAATACGAAGTTTCTCCGATAATATTAGCTCATGTAATAGAGAAGCGTCAAAATTTTTTTGATAGAATAGAAATAATCTTTTTGTTTTCTTTTTTTTGTTTTTTGTATCGAACAAATACATTATTATATTCGTAAGTATTGCTACGTTGCTTTTTTATAAAGATTGAAAACTTTTTTTCAAAGAATTTCAAATCTTACGTTTAAAATTCTAATCCATTTAATTTCCAATCTATCGTCTAACAATCTAATTATCTAAATATGTCAATTTTAATTCTAATCTGTAAATCTATTGAATTCAATGAACCATACGATTCTATTGTCCTTTTGTCGATGTGATTTGAATAAAACAAAACGAAAAAAAAAAAACAAACAAAAAGAAAAAAAAGAGAAAAAGAAAAAATTCCTCTATCATGAAAAATTCTAATCTGTCGACAAGAAATATATCTACGAAAGTATTGTTAATTTTATTGTAGAAATTATTGTATCACGTATGTAATATTCCAAACTACAAAACAAACGATAATCCGTCGAAAGCGTTGTTAAGCATTGCATCGGTTGCATCTGTTGCATCGGTTGCATCGGTTGCATTATTATTGAGGCTTAAAAAATTTATGAAAAAAAAAATTACTCTTGCTTCTTCGATCGAAGTTAGGTCGCTGTAAAAAATTTCTGCGCGACGTTCATGGGTAAAAAATAAAAAAAAAAAAAAAAAAAAATAAAAAAAAAAAGAAACGAAAAAGACAATAACGACAATTAATAACGTATCGTGATGAACTTTAAGGCGATGCTAAAAAGAAAGAAAAATAAATAAAACTCGTCGACACTCGGATAAATCATCTTATGATTCATCCGATAGATATACGAATAATTAGATTTCTTTTTTTTCTTTTTTCTTTTTTTTTTTTTTCCTTCAATTTCCTTAATCTTCTTAATTCATACATTTCTTTTGGTTCATTTAATGAAATTCTTTTAATTAGATATTTCTTTTGATTTCTTTAATCATACGAATAATTATGATTTTTCCTTTTATTCCCTTTTTTTTTCTTTCTTTTTTTTTTTCTCCTTTTTCTTTTTCCATTAATATATATCATAACGATTTAATAAATAAAATTAATAATAAAATTTTTTATTACATTTATGATATAAATAAAGAGATATATCGTTTATATTAAACAAACTGCGAAAAGAATAGCTATCCTTACTTTCACTCTTTTTCAAATCTATTTCGATAATATCAAAGAAATGTTAATAATTTATCCGTAGAATTGAGCGCATCGTTTATTACGTAAAGAGAAAGGTTGCAATCGCGCGAGTAAAAAGGAAAAAAAGAGATAGAGAGAGAAAGAGAACGAAAAAGAAAACGAGAGAGAGACAGAGAGAGAGAGAGAGAGAGAGAGAGAGGTAGAGGGAGAGAAAGGGGGAGAGAGAGAGAGAGAGAAAGAAAGAGAGAGAGAGAGAAATTACATGAAAGATATTTAAATCGTCGATCGTCAATCTATATAATTATCTTAAGACGTTCATTAAATCTTAGACGAGTCATCCGATAGCGATTCTACTTCGACAATTGACTATAGTTACTATTAACGATGGTAATTGATACGTAATTCGTCGAACGTAGATACATATGTTAATATTAAATGACATACGACGTAATTATTTATACTAGACACAATCTAATCGATCGAATAGAAAGAGAGAGAGAGAGAGAGAGGTTAACAGTCAAGTTTTTTCTATTTATATTTTTTCCCCTTTTTTTCTTTCTTTTATTATTTTTTTATTTTTTTTCTTCTCAAGACAGATGGTAAAAGATCATCCAAAATGTATCACAGAGATCTAGACATTTATATTATTATTATTATTATTATTATTATTATTATTATTATTATTATTATTATTATTATTATTATTATTATTATTATTTCTACGGA